GGCCTGGTCCCACTGAGTCCCGAGGGTCCCAAGTAGGTCGTGGACCAGGACCAACGAGATAGGTGTACCAAGTCAGTCCCAAACTGCCTCCACGGTACTGAAAAGGCAAAGACAACTTCCAGCGCAAACTCACCCCTACAGCCGTTCAAAAATGAAAAGACATTGCACCGTAGTAAGATATGTCATTTTTAGAACAGATACATCATCCATCCATCCATTAGATGAGAAAGCAATCCACATGCTCACACACACAACCAGAACCGCAGAGAAGAGGAAGAGAGCCCAGCACACCCCAACAGGCCATGAAGCACCAAGCAACCTCCCACGGGCTAACCAGGTCACACGGCACTTACCTGTGAGGCCCGACTTCCAAAGATGGATAACAGCTCACCCCCCTCTCTCATCAGTCCTCCTGACCCCCAGCTACCACTACACGAAGTGTCCTAGCATGACTAAGAGGGCCTTCCTACMCCCCTGTTGCAACGCCGGATCCCCCGCCGATGTCTGAAGACCAAGTAGCAACTTGCAGCTCTCCGATGTAGATATGGCAGCCTCCGATCAAGTCTCCCTCTTGAGGGGAAGCCCAAAAGTCACTCAATGTCTTCTTGACGTGCAGATTCCAGGTGCGAGTACCTCTCACTCTCTACTCCCTCTCGCTTACTCCAATCAGCCTCCTCTGTCTCGCCACCCCATCCAATCACTCGAGCAACCTGGTTAGGTCTGATGTCGACCCTACATGACCTAACCAGGTGGGGGCAGTATCCACATACCTCACTGTCCCTCTTAACCCTAACTTCCTAACCCTAATCCGAGATTAGGTTAGCCCTAACCTAACTCGGAATTAGGTTTAGGGTGACTAACACCTCATGCCAACAAATAAGTCCGCTCCGATACCAATTGTTACGATCCTGGTCATTTCCAAAAAGCAAATTCACAATGAAAGACAATGCCACCCAATTGCGAAAGAAATGAAAGCACTTGCGAAGAGATAGAGACCAGAGGAGAGAGAAAGAAGAAGAAGAAGAAGAAGAAGAAGAAGAAGATATGCACCAGCAAGACTAATGACAATTCCCCCTTCTCTCTCCACCTTCCTCCTCCTCCTTCACTTCGCCAATATTATTCTTCTCCCAATAATAATTATAACAATGAATGGATGAACCAGAATCAATATCCGAAGTTCCCTCTTACTGCTGACTCAACAACAACAACAACAACAACAACAACAACAACAAGTCCACCATAGCTATGGCTTCCCTCCTTCTGCCTCCTCTCTCATGCATAGGCTATGTCGGACTACTGAGGGCCCTGCCCTCCTGTCCAAAGGACAACCCAAAGCAGCTATGGCGCTGCGCTCCTGTCCAAAGGACAACCCAAAGCATGCTGCTGGCCGGTCCGCCATGCCTGACTCTGCCTCGAGCTTCCTTGGTGCGGCACTACCCCAACTGGGGCCTTCTAGATGCAGCGCCCAACAAGGGGACGAAGACGGTGTCCACCAGAGCCAGGTAGGTGCCTCACCACTCTCCTCCTTAGCCCCCTTCTTCCTCCTCCTCAAGCTGGGCTGCTCGCCATAGCCAGGCTGAGCGCCAGCTGCCCTTCACCTCCAAGCAGCGCTGTTTCAGCCAGCGCTGTGCTCCAGCAGCATGTCGCCAATCCTTGCATGCCGCAAATGAGGAGCCACTTGCTCCTCCGAAAGATATAGCGGCCTACTGGCGTCCTGGGCCGTGACTTCCTGGGCCGAGCGGCCTCCCAACTGGCGCTCAGCCTGGCTATGGCGAGCAGCCCAGCAACCGGTACCTCCTCCCTTTCGGAGGGAAACATCATTGCAGGCTCTGCTAACCTCCGGACAGGCCCTAGACCCGGGCTACTTGGACTGGTACCGGCCTACCTCTAACCTACCGCTACTGGGCCTCTAAAAATGCCAACTTTTTGTCTTCTTCTGCTCGGCCTCCAGTACCCGACACTTCTACCACTACTTCAGTGGTACCGGCCTACCTGCTACTTGAGTGTTTTTCCTCTCTGCTCTAAGTGTCGCGGGCCTACCCCCGCTACTCGAGTGTTTTCCCCCGCTGCAACCCTCACAGTCACGGCCACAGGTAAGTACCAGCCCTGCGGGGCCTTGCAACCAACAAGTACCCTTGCGGGTCACACACACACTCAACCGACAAGCACTCAGACAGGCATGCAAACCAGCACGCACACACACACACACAGACATGGAAATCACAGCAGAATGCGGGAATTTCAGCAAGGCATTCATTCCAGCGGCAAATCCCAGAAATCAGCAGTGTTCTCAGTCTGTGTTTTTGGCGGGTCATTACAATAGAAAATAAAATTTAAAAATATATATGCAAGGAAGATGAGCGACAACAAACTTCAGAAATCAAACAGCATCATACACATAAGACCAGATAGTCATGACCTCGAACCAACAGCAGAATTGCATCACGAATTTCACCAAATAAGAACACACCAAGAGCTCATAATTGACA